TATACATGTATATGTATTGCCTATTGACACTACAATTACAAGAATACAATCTACATATTTTGATATACTCACATTGAAATCAGCAAAGAAGTCCACCAGGTCATACTCTTTGGTATTAAAAGGTAGTCCACGTGCTTTGACGACGGCGCTTGAAACCTTCTTTCTTTTATTTCCTCCACCTCCTCCATAATAGGCGTGGCCACCTCCAGGGCGGCTACCACCACCTCCGGTATCCATTAAAGCATACGTCACGTCATTACCAGAAACCTAAGGATTGAGTGATTAGGTAAACATTTGTCAGTAGAAATAAATAGCTCACGTACTTGAAAAACTTCAATGTAGCGACGACCAATGTTTTGCCTATGCAGTTCGTTGGCAGCTCTGGTAGCAGCATCCACTGATGTCATTTGAACAAAACAATCACCAGTTGGACGACTCTATAAAAATAAATAAATAATAATACAAAGCATACAGAAATAAATACTGTAAAGTAAAGAATGATGATGTGCAGTTGCCATACAAAATTTCTGATTAAAATGTGAGATTGATTTATCTTTACCTGAGCATTCAACACCATGTGTATTCCCTGCTGCTCAATGCTTCTGTTCAAGTCACCAAAGAAACTGATGACGTCTTCAGGTGTTGCTTCCCAAGGGAGTCCTCTCAGTTTAACACAGTTCTTTTCTGATCCTCCTCTCTTTGATGCACCACCACCACTCCCTCCTCCTCCTCCCCTTCCTCCTCCTCCTCCTCCTCCAGACTCAGTATTGAGGTAAGCAAACCTGTCAAGTTGCTCTGGAGTCCCTGACTTATTCAGAACCTACAGAGTGAGGAGTAAATAAGATAATGGTAGCTCTAACTTTAAACATTATTTTTGATCGGAACCAGCTCAAAATTTCTACATTGTCACAAAATCTGTGACAAGCAAAACCCATTAGTTCCATTGTCACGAAATCCTTGACAAGCAAAAACCCATTAGTTCCATTGTCACGAAATCCGTGACAAGCAAAACCCATTAGTTCCATTGTCACAAAATCCGTGACAAGCTTACCACTAAGAATTCCTTGAGTGAGCTATGAAACACTTCAATGTATCTGCCCATTAAGTTGTTGCGGTGTTTCTTGAGAGCCTCCTCCACGTGAGCCTCAGATGAGAATACAGCAAAAGCATCGCCAGAAGCTTTACCATCAGGATAACGAACAATTAATATACCATCAGCTTCATTACTGACTGGAGCCTCTGGTTGAAAGAACTCCATCTAAAAAGAAAGAAAAATAGAAACAAGTAAACTAGAAAGTGAAGGAACAAACAAGGCATTAGGCTTACAATGTCAGATTCAGTAGCTCTATAAGGTAATCCTTGCATACGAACTGTGAATACCTTCTCACTGGATCCAGTGGTATCACCTGTAATATGAAGAGGTGATCAAAATAACAGCGAATCGTTAATATTACATGTACTTGTACTTACAGAATTGAAAGAAATTATCAGGGCTGGCTTCATAAACCTAATGCACATTATAAAGAACAAACATTAACATAGGATGTAAACATGCATTTTGAACCATACCTCAACGTATCTTTGGTGCAGGTAATGTCTGTCCCTTTGAAGGGCAAATTGTGCCTGATCCTCACCCTCAAGGACAACAATGGCTTCACCAGTTCTCCTTCCGACAGGATTAATACTAAAAACCACTCCACCACTGCAAGCAAGAAAAAAAGACAGGTATTAAAAATTGATAGTTATATTTATTGATTATTTACGGGATGATATTGAGTCCAGACAAAAATAAAGCAATATCATTATGATCAGCAGAGAAAGGAAGACCCCTCAGCCTCACAACACAACCATCACATACATTATCAGGACTGCATGAGAACAAAAGAGAAGAGATGAATCCACCAAATTAAAAAAAAAAACAAAACTGCCCACACTCACTTGACTTGATTGGTATGTGAATAGCTTTGCTGAACTGTCTCGGGCGATTCAAAAACATGACCTTATGATATGAGATAGATAGAGGTGAAGATATTGAATAGGTAAGGCTACCTTGTACTAGCATCTTCTGAGCTGCTTTAGCCATTATTGGAATCTCTTCAGCACCTGACACATCATTGGGACAATCGACTCCAAGACCTTAAATAAAATGATAATTTAACTTAAATGTTAAATATAACAGTGATAGAGTAGAGTAACCATAAAACTCAATAAAGGCTACATATGCTTACATTCACAAAGCTCCACGAGGTTGTGAGGTTGGAACTCGTTATTTGATCTCTTGGCTAGCTCTTTCTGTAGGTCAAAGAACTGAGAGAGAAAGGAGGGAAGAGGCTCCTGGAGTTTCCTATTTATCTCTGGCACTAGAATCTGACGTAACGCGGTTGACCCATTAGTAGCAAGACAGCAATTAGACTGCTCTGAAAATACAGCTTCAATCTTAAAGAAAGAGATAGAGGGGATACATGTACATTAAGTGTATTCATTTATGTAACATCATGTCAATTTGTACAACATAAATTGGTTTACTTTCTCAAGAGCAGTTGATAAAGGGATACCATCTTCACTGTTCTGTCCCTTACTCGTGTAACCAGACCCCGAACTATCGGGACACACAACCAACTGACCAACCTCACTAGCTAACTATAATGATATATAATGCATTTATAAGGACATATAATGTTTCTAATTAATGCCCAACCTGCATGTTGGCTATGTCTAGTACCTGCCAG